AGCACTATTCTCTGGAGATAATAAAGCACACGAATTATCACGAAAAGGAGTGAAGTGGTTCACTCTGCTCATTTGCATAGTAATGATAAGCAATGAGTGGTTAAGCATTCGGCTGAATGCTTTCTCCGCCACGGCCGACTGACGAAGAAGAATTACATTTCAAAGCTTTTAATTGTCATATGCAAATCGCGACTAAACAACGTTGTTCATCACGGAAAGTTACGCGTTGTGATGTCATGTGGGACAATATACGTATCGTATTGCTTATTGGGGCAAGTTGTGAGATGCGAAAGGGTTGCTCTATTCAGATTCGGTCGCAGTATCAGTTACACCAACTCACCCGCTTCTGGTGGAGATTGCAAGCCATTACCGCAGTTCCGGTTTTAAAGTCAGGAAAAATTTGTTTAATGGTTGACAACGGAGGAGAGAACGTATTCATGAAGAGAATCCTCAACCCCTGCTGGTTTTATGAGTATGCAAATTTATGAATGAAAGGGAAATCATAATCAAACTTGCAAGATTCCCCGTGCTTCCTGTTACTTTTACGCAGTGCATTAAAGTCGGCCGCGGCTATGTGACGCTGATGACGGTATGCATTTCTCTAGAGTTTTATCAGTTTTTCGTCACATCTAGAAGAAAGCTTCTACATGTGCCAACATATTTTATGGTGAGAGCATTTAATATTGGTATTTCTTTTATAGAAAATTCAGTGCTAGGTTAATTTTGTGAGAAAAAAATATCACTGTATTAAGAAAGTCAAGGTTTGCTTGATAAGACGACTTTCCGTTTCGGTTGCTGCAGGAGCTTTTGTTTGATCCAGTAATTGGTCAGTGTCCAAAACAGAGTCTGATATAAAGTGTCAGGATTTAATTAAGCGATCCACTTTTACGATTTTGCTTAGCAAGCGATTCTACCGGATGAGAAGCTCCACTTGGTCACTTTGCTCTCATGCGACGTTAAACCTTGCAATTTGAAAGATAAAAGCTTCGGCTTACGAGATGGACATGAACGGATTGAGTTGTTTTATGTGTGCAATTTATTTTATGGGGAAAACTAATTTAGACAATCCTTATTCTTGACAATGGTATGTTTTTCATTGATTCTGGTCAAATAAATGCATGTGTACGTTGTTTGGATGTGTAGTCAGTGTAGAAGGCAATTCAGGATTGAAAAATAGCTTCAAAATTTCTTAATTTACGAAATGGCCAATCTCACTTCTCACTTTGGAAATGGCCAATCTCACAAAGCAGCAGTTGGATTGCCTGCAAATCAGTCGGAGCTGCTCAAATTTTGCAAATGTAATTATTCCCCGTATCAACTTTCGCAAGCATTAGTTTAATTAAAAAATGAGCAGCCATCTATACACATAAGTATTTATGTGCTTAACGATGTAAGTGATTGTCCACGTATGTATTTCGATATTGAAAACTCATTTTCATTTTAAACTAAAACAAACAAAATTCAATTCGTTTTCTGTAGCAGGTGGTTCATCGCATGTCCCGTATCACGTGACAGGATACCAACAAACCAAAATTGATACTTTCGTAAATAAATACTTTACTATCGAGACTCGAGACACGATCAGTTTGGCACCACTTTCTGCCAAATTGTTCACGACCAATTGCTACCTTATTACTCCTGGCGTGGAGCCTCCCTCTTACCGCCCGTCAAACTTTTAACTTCTCCAGTAACGCATTTTTTACACTTGGCGTAATTAGTTGGTCTTCCCCCATTCGTGAAAATCAATACCCTTTCCTGCATTATTTACTCGCAGCAGCATAAAACTAATTTCCGTTCGCCCAGCCCATGGGAAATTAAGGGGAAACAAGTTGCAGAGTGACAAATGACTTTTCTCAGAGAATCTGTCAATGCTCAGAGTACAAGGAGAAAGTCAAATCCTTTTACTTTGAGCTTTATTTTCCATCTTTACTTATCTACGTATCCCATATTTGCACTGTTTTAAGAATACATAACTCCCTTATCATCACAAATGACACATATCATCACGTGAGACACTCACTCTGCACTTAAACCACTGATGCATATCCGGCACATAAAAACAATGGGGACATAAAATCCGGAAATAAATGCATCTCCACCGCATACGTATCTCCATCTTTGTAAGAATTTAGATTGATGCGCACTAATAGAGAAGCCTACTCAACATCTCATCTCATTCAGGAGCAGGAAATAACCAACAATAAAAAGTCACGTCATATTTCTCCAGGGAAAAAATTACACGACCACTCGAACATTTTGGCATTTCTGCGTCTGCCTCCTCCTAATGCATTCGAGTCATTTTTATCTTTTGAGAAAAAAATGACAATTGTGATGACAAGGAAAGCCAAGTCTTGATGATGATGATGATGATGATTATCTATCATCGTTACCGGGTTTCTTTGTCTCTCTCTGCTCTTTCATCCTGATTTCGGTTTTTATTTTGGAGGAGAGACCAACAGTGATAATAATAATGATGATGCACTGATAGAGTGCGCACTTTATGCATATTTTGGCCCTTATCTCAAATTTGTTAAGAGAAAAAGTGAGATGTTCTCATTCTTTGAGATTTTTCTCTCTTTGTGATACCTATACATAAATGACAAATGGAGCCACTTTTACTTAATCAGCTCATTAAATCTCAATTTCACATTAACACAAAAGCCGAAGAATAAAAAAGTGCATTAATTCTTTCTTTTTTTCTCATGCATAAATCTAGCAATTATCAGTTTTCGCCGTAAATCTGGACTGCCACCACCCATTGCTTAATTAGGTGGTGAGCAGGCTGAAGACTCGCCCTTTTTCTTTCTCCCGTGGCAGTTCCCAGCCTATTTTTAATTTCAGTGTAATTCCTCCTCCTTTATTATGCAGATTTTACTGCTTTTTTATCCATCGACGCATCAGCTTACCATTATCGGGTTGCAATACACTTGTAGTTGGTGGAACTTTTGACTCCATTGTGCAGTTTGGATACGTATGTACCATCGAGGGAGTTTTTTTATGATGTGATTTCAACCGTCTTATGAGCAACAATGGTGGTGTAAAAGGCGTGATTTATGCTGAAATTAGAAATCTCGGAGGTGGGGCTGACGACTAAATTAAAAACTGTTTTATGCATATCCTTGGTCAGGAAGGTTGTAAATTATGATATTTTCACTGCCTCCTTACGTATTTTTATTGCTGCTCGGTCTGTCGGTGGAATTAAAATTTAGGTGGCAAAGTTTTTTTCAATATTGCAATCCGGCTTTTTTATGGCTGCGGTGCCACGATTTGGTGCAATTACTGCTACATTATCCTGAAGACTGGAGCGGCAACAGTATGCAGACTGTTGCACATAATGAGAATTTTTAATAAAAGTAAATACTTGGTGTAATTTATGAGCGTTATGCATGTATTAATGTGACATTGTGGGATGAAAGGAAGGTAGTAAAAAATTAGTGGGATTTCTTATTAAAAAGGGAGAACATTTTATGTGTGAAAGCATTGTGCACCCAAGGCCAATATTCATTAAGGACAATGTTAGTCTCGTTTTCAATTGGTCGTAAAATCGGCAGGGAAGCTGTTAATAATTTGTATCAGGATTGCGACAATGGTGAGAATGGGTAGAGCAAAGTGTTTAAAAGATTTTATATTCTCGTAAAAAGACACATTGTAAATTAATCGTTGAACAAGGTTTAAAATATCTGCATATTTAAGCTAGGACTTCTTCCCGCGGGTGGTAATCTTAATGTCTTTATGCTAATCAATTTTATTTGACAACGAGTGTGAGGAATTTGTATGTTGGAAATAATTTTTTTGTGTATGAAAACTGTACATTTTTCCCCACTGAAAAGTGAGTACAGTTTCTGCCATAATTTACAAGATTTTCTATGTATTGCTGACTCACTCAAAATTTGCATATCTTCACAATCCCATTGTTCTTGTCGAGCTAAACAGAAAGACAGAAAGTCGACGAGTAGTGGATCTGATTTGCTGCGAAGCTCATTAACCATCAGCCTAATGAAGTGTCTTAAGAGAGCATCCGCTCTTAAACTTTATTTAATAGTTGGTCGGAGAAATGTAGCAGAAATGAGGAGTCATTTCTCAGTCAGTGGTTTATGAAAAGGGTTGAGGATGCAGATTACCCGGGTATTGTTGATACCCCGACTCTCAACGGTAATTATTCCACTGCTCCTCGTCAACTTTGATTGTCTCATTACCCCTGCCGTCTCATTTGCATGGATTAACACTCTCTTCCCAGCTCTACACTTGTAAGGAATGTCGCCTTGTGTGATTCTCATAATGAGAAATCCAGATACTCGTGTCGACGTGGTTGTACATTCTCATTGTTAGGTGACAGACTCATTGTTTCAGGATTAGGTGGTAAGAAGAACGCACATCCTGCGTTTCATTTAGTAACATAAACCAGAGCAGGCTTATTCACGTGGCGGGGAGAAAGTGGAGAAAATTACTGCGTTTTGGGGAAGGCTTCTATTGTCTCGAGTTTCAATGTATTAATTCAAATCTGATGCTTTCTAAGAGCGCAATGGTCTCAAAGTGAATTTGAAGAGTAAGTATTTCTGAAGAGTCGGGTTTAGGTTTATGAAGAGACTTATCTGTACAAATGTGGTACTCGCATAAAGAACAATTCAACATTCACGTTATTATTTCCAACCCTTCCTCATTCATCCCTCCGAGTTTAATACGTATTAAAAGCTATGATTCGGATCGAGGCGAGTAGAAAATAAAACAATGCAGACATTTCTCAGCTAATGAACCGAGTAAAGCTCAAAGTGAGACAAATGCACATCCTTCATCCGTAATTATTTTCCTCTCCATCACCAACTTTTTGCCCCTCTTTGTTCCGAATTGGACTCCCTCCTCCACAATAAAAATGTAAATCTGGTGGAGGAGAAAGTACGTACGTACAAGATGGAAATGAAACAAAGAATTTCCTGCCGGTGTCAAAGTGAATGGAAAAATAAGGATTTTTTTAAGCCTCACTAATTTTTAAAGCTTTCCCTCTTGTTTTTATTTGTGATAATAATAAGAAATGACTTCGAGTTGTGAATCAGTGTCTGTGACGGCGGAACACAAATGAGAACTTTCTTCTTATGTTGGAAAGTGAGTGAGGGAAGAGAAATGAGGGGAAATAATTATGTACATGCTTTAGTTTTGTTGTTAAAAAACAATGAAAACCAAAAACCACAGAGATGCATACAATAAAGAATTTCAAAATACAAGAGGATCATAAAGTGCGAGGCAGAGCAGGAATTTTAGGAAAGCGTTGACTGACATGAGATACAATTGGACAAAAGTAAAACACGTGAGACACGTTAGTAATTTGCATATGAAAAGAAGACAAGTCAGACGTTAATTTATGTCTAGTCTGAATATTCAGATTTTAAAGATGATCCAAAAATTCTGAGATTTCTAAATTTGCATTCTATTTCAAAGTGCACATGTGTAATTGCTTTTCATGAGTGTATCTAAGTATCCAACTCGTTGCTACATATTCCTTCCATTTTCATCGCCCGTCTGCCCGACATGCTCACTCACGGATATTTCCGATCATTTAATTCTAAGCGAGGGAAAAGATAGTCACGAATAAATAGAAGACGAAACTCGAAACCATAATCATTTCGAGCAGGATCATTGATATTTATAGCAGGCGACGCATTCACATGAGATCATTGTCTCCTTCGCTATTCCGTTCCTAAGAATGATTAGTGTTATGGAAATGCGGAAAAGTAATAAACATACGACGAGGAGTAAGAGACCAACCTTTATTCCTCCTTTGTCGAGTAGCTTCGGTTGGCATAATTCCGCCGTCATTGTCACAATTATGGGTGGAGGTACATGTGTTTGCTTTCTGAAACTGGGGTATGAAAATAATCCCGATTTGAAAAAGGACGACAACGAATTAAATTTGATGTGAATTGCCTCCGCTTTGGTTGAAATAAATATAAATCGTGGATGCACACTCGCCGATCTCGTAAAAGGCATGGAAATTTGGCTCATCTCGCAGTACAGGATTGTTTATGTGACATTTCGTACTTTCTAGTGTGTGGCACTTTCTCTACTTTATTGTGTGGCACACTGCATGCGGTTTAATGTATGCCATGCACATACTGAAATTTGGAAAAACTTTCATCATGCATGATAAGAAAGAATCAGTGTTCTTGTTGACAGCTCGTCCCGAAAATGTGATGGCTCGAGCTGACTTTATTACGTATAAATGTGGTCGGTAAAAAAATCATGTTTATTGATCTACCCATTGTCAATTTTTTCAATATTTGTTAATGCATTTTCCCACTTTTGTCATAACTTTGGTAACATCGCGTTAGAATTTATGTTTATGCCCGAGTCTAAATAAATGGGAGCAACTACGGTCATCCAGTCGTGGTTATCTGGTCTGACTCATGCATGCCGACCAGACCACGCATAGCACTAAATATAATCTGATTGATCGAATTTAATCGTGGAAGTAAAAACCTAAAAAATATTAAGGATCATAACTTTTTACGATGCGTCCTCCTCTCCCGTGTATGTATTTGTCGCATAATTTCGTCATGTATCCGGGGAAATTATACAATGGTAAAGTGTGCTAGATAGGAAATTTAACTGCTAATTATTCACGTAATATCTGAAATTCATATTATTCCAGGTTCAAAAGAGCGAGCTTTCTCCAGCAAATCATGGATACAGTTAGAGCATGTATATTCATACGACAAATCTGAATTACGATGGCTGTGGGAAATTGCTAAATTCAGACATGTGCGTCAGAAATGGCAGGTTGTTGGGCTCAAACTGAAACAGCCACATAAGTACCGATGCAGTAATTCCATGTATGTACAATCCTCAAGTGAATGATAAGATCAATCACGAGCAATTATTTTAACAACGATTTTATCAATCAATCGATTGGAACCGGACTGACGTAACTGATACAACAAGTATATAAACGCTGATTTTCCGTCATTTAATTCTATTCATTTGCATTTTGCACATGACAAGATGTCGTCCTATGCAGCCTTGTGTTTGCTATTTTTGTCCTGCAATGTCCTCAACGAGGTGAATTGCCACCAGTTGGAAGCAGTTAAGGTGAGCAGTCGCCTCCCGGAGGGGAGACAAGCCACCTCTGCAATATTTGACGGGAAGGATGTCATCTACATAATTGGCGGCAGTAACCGCAACTCTTACAATACGAAGGACATCTTAAAGTACAACGTAACCTCGGACACCATTGAAAAAGTGGCAGAACTACCACGCGGCCTAAACGATGGAACAAACTCAATGGACAAAGATGGCAATATTTATCACGCCAGCGGAGAACATGGTCCAATTGCGAGCGAACCTCACAAAATATACAAGTAGGTCACAATTGATGCTATTGTTATTGTATGTTATGGAGTAGCGAGGTGAGACCGTAATGCCCCCAATATCATAAATTACACGTTAGGCTGGCATACAAAAAAATGCACATGTTAATAAAAAAATCCACAACAATTTTACAGTAAATGAGTGCAAATAATCTTTGTACCTCACAATCAGACGATGAAAATATGCTTATTCACTTTACAGGTATTCGCCCAGCACAAACACCGTCGAAATTGCGACTTCCCTCCCATTCTCCGCATACGACAGTGCAACCGTGTCCGATCCTGAAAACCGTGACAAAATTTACATCTTGGGAGGATGGCCTTATCCCGAAGCTATCGTCTCCTTCAACATGGCCACCCAAACGGCCGAGTGGAGTCATAACCTCTCCTCCAACTACTATCCCATGACAGCTTTTAATGATGATGATGGCTACACGTACCTCTTTGGTCAGCCAGCACTCGTGCCAACCGTGGAACAGTGGGTTATCAAACTAAACCTGTCCACCAATCAAGTCGTGGCCACCGGTCCACACAACTTTCCCAGGTTGAAGGGAAAAGCCAGCACTGTGTGGGACGGCAGGTACGCGTACGTAATCGGAGGTTACGGCGACCTGAGATCGGGATACCATGCCGACACAATTCTGCAATTCGACCCCGTCACGATGGACTACGTTTTGCTTCCGGTTACAAATTTTCCCGCCAATAGGAGTCGATTTTTGCAGGAGGTTAGTGCCGTTTATGTCCATACGTTGGGAAGGATTTATATCATTGGGGGATTTTCCATGGCGGATCAAGGGGGTGCGGCGACGTGGATATATCACGATGAAATTTGGTACATCGAACTCTACCCGGGACAGCCGACCACGACGACGGAGTTTCCACCCTCCACCACGCTAAACCCGGATGTCTACACGTGTCAAAATCGGAGCGATGGAATGTACCCGCATCCATACAGTTGTGACAAGTTTATCAATTGTAATGGGGGGCAATTAACGGAGTTTAGGTGTCCATACCCGCTCCTCTTTGACCCGGTCGGATTGACGTGCAATATGCCACATCTGGTCGACTGCGAGATTACCTGTGTGGGGAGGGAGGACGGGGTTTATCCACATCCACAAGATTGTTCGTTGTTTATTGGGTGTGCGGATGAGAGGGTGCACATTTATCAGTGTCCGACACCTTTGTTGTTTGACCCCGTCACGGGAAGATGTGACCTACCCGAGATTGTGCAGTGTTAGTAATGGGGTGAAATTTAGACTTTGTAAATAAATGCTAAATTATTAAGCAGCAATGTAATGTACGACTTAATGATATTCAAACTTGTCAAAATATTAATTTTAATCGGACTAATAAATGAAATTAACAATAGTGCACTATAAATAGCGATTAATTATGTTGTACAATTCTTGTTGGACTCAAGCTGAAATAATTGCTTTTGTAAAAATGCGTCAATTGTGTATTTCATTCATTATTATGAAGCTAGGTACTTACATATGTAGCTATTCTTGCATTGTTTGAGTTATTGTGTGTCAAATTAATGTCAATTTTAACACTTCAACATCAATAACAAACAATTGACGAACCATTTATTTCTACAAAGGTGTGGACCCAATAGCGCCAATAAGCATTTCAACTTCAACCCTTTCACCTTTATCATTTCTTCTTTTGAAAACAAACCAAGACTCACTGGAGACAAAAAATATGTCCCGTTGTTGCAGTTGACAAAAAACGGTGTCCGCTGTGCACAAATCAATCATATCATATAAATCGATGGGCATCAATGGCATCAATTTATTAAGAGAACAGTGACAAAAAAATCATGTTATTGATCAAGAATTGACACATCTGTGAAAAGGAAAACCACGCGAGGTGACATTTTCTAATTTGTCGCTACTTTGTTTCAATTCCAGCTCGATGCACACCTAAATATGTTAACGTCCATCAACAATACTCGAAGCTGGCATCTGCCACTATGAAGCTCCCCGTTGCTTCCCAACAGAAATTATTGAGTGAGTGTATTTATTTATTTCCAGAAGAAAAGTCAAGAGTTTTTGTATTAATTTGTATCAAAATTTATGTAATTAGAGCTATATGTAAATATATTAACATTATTTACTTTCTCGATTTTGTATATTACACTGAATTACTGAAAAAAATTGAAACTGGTGTATTTTTCGTTTTTTGGTGATCTACACGTAGTAAATGATGCATCTGCGCGTTTCTGGGAATATAAAAAATATGCGTTGTTTGTGTCAATTTAGTGCATTATGATATTTACGTTCAAGAGAATTGATATGTGTATGTTCCATAATTCTGTAATTTCTGTATATATAATTAGAAGGTTGAGAAAGAGCGAGTACAAGTTCAATTATTTAAAACAAGGCTCGCCTTGACTCCTTCCCTATCTTCCAGCATGTTAAAGGTCAACAGTTTCACAAATCTTCACGTGTCGAATGCACATAAAAGGAAGCGAGGTTTACTACTAAAAATTCACTGGAGTAAACCTTACTTATAATTTGAGTAGTTTGGGCACTTTTCATAGAATTATTGGTATTAGAAAAAGGTAATTGTGTGCGTCACTTTAACTGGGCTTAATTTTATATCGGGAACTTTAAAATAATCATTACACTCTTTGCCCGAAACTTTCTTGATAAACTTTAAGGAACCGCCCTTTAAGATCCTGACTAATCTGACGCAAGTAAAATGTTTACGTGTAAAAGAAACCTATGTATCCACATCATAGCACTGCATTTACATATACATACGTACTTAGGAGGGGAGCTTCACCACCTGCCCCTCCCATCTTGATGTGCTTTGAATATGTGGTAGTGTCCCATGAGTTTACTAAAACCCTGAAGTGGTTTGACTCCATGGCCACAGTTACGCCCGCCACACCCACTCAAAGGCGCCAAAAACACGAAAAAAGCCCTGTTTTCACTTGTTCAAACCCTCGCCAAAAATCCAATTGTGCTCGGATTTTGGTAAAATTTACATCTTTGTAATCCCAGATACTTGTTTGATCATATCCAGTAGCAATCTCAACTTTTTTGAAATTTTGAATTTTTTCGAATAATTCATCAGCCCGAAAATGCCCGAAAATTTCGAAAATTTCGAGAAAGTTGAGATTGCTACTGGATATGATCAAACAAGTATCTGGGATTACAAAAATGTGAATTTTATCAAAATCCGATCAAAATTGGATTTTTGGTGGATTTTTGAAGTTGGTAACTTTTGTGGTTTTTATCCCTTTGAGTGGGTGTGGCAAGCGCAAATGTGGCCATGGAGTCAAACCACTTCAGGGTTATAGTACACTCATGGGACCCTACCACATATGCAAAGCACATCAAGATCTGAGAGGGGCAGGTGGTGAAGCTCTCCTCCTTAGAGCCATAATATCTATTTACCACTCCATTTGAAAAGGAAAACAGGGGTGGAAGGTTAGAGTAAAAGTTTAAAAAGTTGTTTTTATTAGAGTTTCCAATCCAATCTGGTTTAGCGTCTAGCTTTGCTAACTTGAGTTTCTTGTTTGACTTTAGTTAACCTTGACAGGGATGGAAAAAAGTGATGGATTTAATGAGGTTTATTTATGTCTGGATAGATTTTGTTTTATTAGGAGATAATCAAATTTAGCTGTGTCAGATGACCTACGGACTTTAAAAGTGTGTGACCTTTTAAAATCCTAAACGCAGGTTGTGGTAATGATTTACATAAATTAGTGCAGTTGTATTTTACATTTAGACTCATTATTTTTTATTTCTATACAGAATACTGTGGCCAATGTGGAAATTATATTGCACTCCTGGAATAAAGAAACAGGTTTTAGGAGTACTTCAGTAAGAAGTACACATAAGAATCGAACAAACAATTACGGTAGGTTTTTTTTAATTTTATAAGGATCCCTTATTTCCCAATGAATTACATAATGTTTACGAACCCACATCGGTAGTTTCAGTGAATGTGTAAGGAAATTAGTACCAGTTTTTACTGGGTAATTTATTAAAAACAGTCGAGGAAAGTGGGTTCTGGCATGAAATAATTTATTTATATTCATGCGATTATCAAAATTTGAAAGAAAATATAACGTACTTATGCATATATGTAGTGTTGATGGGTTGGATATTTACGTATAGTCTGTCTCAAAATGAAGAGATAGTTTTGGAAAATTCTACTATTTCTTAATAGCTTGGTCCTGGGGCCCAAAGTTTTATTATAATATAGCTCAGGTATTGCTACAAGTTCATGCCAAGTTTCATTGAGATTTGACTTAAATCAAGAAATTTACATGCAATCTTACAAAATTAGTCAAAATCGACTGTCTCAAAAGTAAGAGATATGAAATTTAAACATTTTATAAGTTAATTTTAAGGGAGTCAGTACCCTTGAAACTTATTCTAGTATTTGGTAAAACCTTTCTTAGCTAGAATTAACGCGAATATTCGTCGCTTCATTGAGTTATTGAAGTGCTGAAGGGTCTCCAGCAGGATATTTGCCCATCCGCCATGCATCATTTGCTCCAATCCCTTTTTGGTTCGAAATTGACGCCCACCCGACGCGAGAAGTTGGCCCAAAAATTCTTCATGGGATTTAGGTCAGGACTGCTAGCCGGCTAAGCCAAGTTCCCGGCATTTTTCCTGGCAAAGAAGTCCATGATTAAACGGGAAGTATGAATTTGGGCGTTGTGATTCTGAATATCCCACCTTATCCGCAAAATTCTGGGTCCATAGCTGACCAGATTTGACTGGCGTTATCCCTGATAACCTTGTGAATCTGTTCTGGGTGTACTCGTGCTATTCCGGTCTTTCCACGATATCCAAAACCTCCCACAATATTACCAAATTTTCCCTTAAAAATTACAAATTCAATTTAAATTTGTGGTTCATATTTTTGGACAAATATTTTTATGCAGAATATTTTTTTAGTCCCAATATCGGAACTCATATTCACGTCCAACAGCAGAAGGATCATCATTGCGTCACATTTCGTCCTAGGGGACACAACAAACGCCAAACCAAACGCTACCGTGCAAGAGCTTGATTGGAATAAGTTGGTTGAAATCGAGTGTAAGCGTATGCCCATATTTTACACGTATGTTTCACTACCGCTCTTCCTTCCTGGTTTTGTTGTTCAAGTGACTTTCGAGCCAAGCTTGATGCGTATCATCATCGCTTCGTGCGTCTCTCTCTCTCTGCTCCCTCCAAAAGTTATCCAACCAGACAGCACAACTTCAACCCCACTTCAATCTCACTTTCCCGTCGGCTAAAACCCACTCCGACCTCATCCACTAGTTCAGTCCGAGCCTGGAGCAGAGCCAGTCAACACCGGAAAAATTTTCTCTGAAAACTAAAAGCGAGTCTCAACTTGAACACGCTGACACAAAGGTGAAACTTGCTGTTGGAAGGTTAACTACAAATGCGCTACCAAATAAATTTGGAAATATACTTTAATTTCAATAACAAAATACTGGCAGAAATGGCGATTCCACTTTATAACAGTAACGACCAAGAGTCTGACCAAAGAGAAGGAGAGCAAGTTGCAAAAAGTGAAAGTGAACCAAGTTTTTTGGGGCGATTTGTGCAAGAATTGGTGGAAAGTTATTATGGGGAAGTAACCTGCAATTGTAGTGGGTGTAGCAACGGAGAAAGTGGAAGTAGTGGGGGGAGCAGGAGAACAAGTGCAAATCGGGAGAGAAGAATGAGACGGGGTAGGTTGAGATTTATAAAACTTTGATTATTCGCCTTTAGACTGCATGGGAAAGTGAGATTACTTTGAGTACATGAAATTTTATGTCGCAAATTTCCTTGCAAATGATAGCATTCCTTGCTAAAAAATTCAAAAATCCACAAACTTACAAACTAATAACTTCTAATTTATTTTTTCAAGCAGGCAAATTACCATCCACCTCTGACCCCCCACCTCTACCGCTCCCTGATCTCGTTGCTGATCACGAACAATCAATTCGCAGACCAAGACCAGGACTCTCTTCTCATCAACCAGACCAAGGAAATAACGAGCTTTGCAATGCAATCCAAGTGCCAAGACAGCAGTTCAGAGCGGATTCGTCAGACGCTGACAGTGACCCATCCGGCCTTTCTCTTGATCTCAAGCTCAGTATCGACTATAATTACAGAAAGATTGGGCAGGGGTTGAGACAAATAGCGGATCAATTTCAGCATGATAGGTCACAAGTAAGTTTTTCTTCACTGCCTTTAAACATTGGATGATGGTCGGCTATAATTCCTTAAAAAGTTTCAATGTCTCAAGTTTTAGTGCGTTATTTCATACCTCGCATTAATTAACGTTTTTCTAATGTAGCTCACAAGGAATTAACAATTTAAATTATTTTCACAGAATCAGTCCCGTCGTCGTCGTCGACATCCGGCCGGCAACCAGTACCAAACTACAACGTCCTCCCCAGATGACGAAATCAGCATAACCTTCGAATTTGCGCTGAAAATCACAATTCCCCTGACACTCTTGGGACTCAGTTTGGCCTTTATAAGAAGAAACTGTGCCTAATAGATCATTATCCTATTCATGCAAACTAAATATATAGTGTTCTAGTGTTTTCTTGTTGTATGTGATTGATCTACTAGTTTCCGCTTAGTTTGTGCCAATTTAGCTCAAGTCATGAAATATTTGGTTGTAAATCAAAGATCTCAAATTCTTTGGCATAAGTTTAAGAGTTCAGTGCATTAGTTACCCTTTATTTTATTCAACATCTCATACTCCTTACTATATCTGTATGAGAAGCTCGTCTTTCATTGAACCAGCAATACATTTAAGCAATCAATTTATGTAAAAATATGTACATTTTAAGTAAATAATTGTACTGTATTCATCATGACATCCAAGTGGTCTTTCAAAATTATTGTAAATTTTGTAATGTCTGAAATAAAATAATTTACAATTGATAAGAACTGATAGTAAGAATGTTATTTTGTCATGGAACAACTCGGAACAAGGGTGATCAAATTAAAAACCATATTTGAACATACTTAGCATGGAACATTTGTAAATTGGGCGAGAAAATGGAAAACAAACATGCATGCAGTTCATCCTTCTTATCGTCTCGTTTTGGGTCACAATTTTTCAGTACTCACGTTATCTGAGGACGCTAAGTTGTTTAACGTTTTCTAATCTTAAGACATTTCAGTGAAAAGTTTGTCACATGAATTCCATGCAAAAATAAATCGGCGAATGTCTACAAAGAGTGTATTTATTTACTACATATCTACATACGCACGAGTTGGCAGCTTGATAAGTATGCGGCATGAAAATATTTGCAGTGAATATGTTCACGGCAGTCATGCGTGTCTATGGTTGTCATGCCCTGTGAATTGATAAATTCAAACCATTACTAAAACCTTGTCCTAAGAGTTTGATAAAAATATTAAAACACTTTTGAGAGTGGTGTCCGATTGTAATTTTAATGTGTGATGAAAGCTATTACGCGGATTTATTTGTACAGTGGACAAGCTGCTTGTGTGGGATGGGAAAATGAGACGGTGGGACTGCACAGCAATGCAAGGTTAATGCTTTACACCTGGGTATTAGATTGGACAATGGGACATTCATAGTGAAAAAATAACCCTTTGAACCCGCGATGAAAAGGTGCCTTCTTTTGTACACCGTCCAATCGGACAGGTTTCATCTCTTCTATGATCAAAATTTTGTGGCTGTGTGAATAGATGACGAAATTTTATTTTTTCCATAAAAGCACGGTGGTCAGTATTTTTGAACAGCTTTGAAAATCCTATCAAAATTTCACAACCATTTCATAATTCATGATAACATCCATCATTACATGGAAAAAGTGTCGTGACATATTCACTTATTTCTTCAATTCACATCGCTTTAAAGAAAATCTCGCAGCATAAAAAATTTAGTAATAAACAAGTCGGAAGCAAAATTCACACATTCTTTTCTCTTTTAGTATCACTCCTCCACAAAAAGTGGAAAACATCGATAAACACGGGAATTCGCCATTTCCGGCAGTTTGCAAAAAATTCGAAGAAAAGGATTGTGCAGAAATGTAAAAGGGTGTAAAACGAAACATCTGTATTCACTTGTCGCTCTTAATTTGGGTGGAGTCGAAACCGTTCTTTTTGACAAAAGGAAATAAGGCGATGAACTTTTCTGATGGTGAGTGATACGTTGCATGTGCTTTATATTTATTATCTTTTGCTGGGGAACAAAGCGATTGAGCTCTTAATGTGGAATCTGTAACAAGGATGCAACGTTAATGTAGAGTGTTTAACTACTTGGTCGACACGCATTTATCACACCACCGACTTTTCCACAATTTCCACATGTCATTCCTACGCTGGCCTTGGTCTCCTCCAACCCACAAAAATTTATTATCTTATCCAGTGCAAACAAACCGAGGGGTCAAAACAAGACATAAATTAAGGCCAAGTTACAGTCTGGAAGTCTGCACCTTAAAATGCTTAAAATGCATTTTTATCTCTTAAGGGTTGTGTCGAAGGATATTGGGCAATATGTATTTCAGTGAAATTTAATCTTTTTTGATGATTACCTTAGTAAAATACACACGCACCAATACACGTGATTTTATACTACCTAATTAAGCTATATAAATATAGTCTGGTACATAAATAATGATAAAAAGTCTCGCACGTTTTTTTCTAAAAAATATGCTTCCATCCATATCAAATGAGTCCATTCTTTCGACTAAATAGAAGTTTACAGCATGCTTGCTAACTTTCAATGTCACGAACGAAATTCAGAATAAAACCGTACTTTTGATTTACGATACTCGGTTCAACGTTTCCACCTCCCATTGAAATAAACAGACCATAAATTCTCGAAAAACTTCAGAAAAGTCTAGAAGGGAATAATCCTCCTGTATTTTTCTAATTCTCTTTGGACTCGGCGAATTTAACTTTTCATCAAGAACGAAGAAACGACTTAATTCGGAATGATTTAGGACGAAGGAAGCAATAAATCTAGTTCTCTAGATTAGTACCAATTCGGTGCTGGAGAAAGTGTTTAATCTTCGTTGTTCCGTTGTTCACGTGGATCGGCAGAGAGCAGTGAAGGTCCCCAGCGTGATTGCTTCTGATTCGGAGAAAGGTGTAACCGTTGACTTTAGGATTGACTGGGAAATGTGGTTGGTTGTATTTAATGGAGATGGTATTGTGGTTTTCTATTCATCAACGTGGGCGATCTTATCGTTAGTTTTCTTTTACATTATACCAGTTTCATGATTTGGTGTAGATCATGTGCACAGAACAATAGAGTTAATATTGTCAATTTCACTCTTAACAATATTAAAGAATTGGAACGTTAGCATCAGTGAAATTATTAACTGATTATAAATACACAGGCAAGAAAATAGATAAGTAAAACAGCTTGGATTGAAGAATGGTAGCGCACCTACAAAGTACTAAAAAAGTACAACCTTCCGAACCTTGTTAAGCAAAACAAATCTAGCGAAGGAAATATTTACGATATTTTGCGACACATTTTACGACTGAACAGCTCTTTCTCAAAATGACAAGCTCATTACTTTACACGAAAACCAAGATTGTCAAGAAAATCCGGGTAGTTAAACGTGCTGAAGACTTTGTCCGCATCGGGTCATTTGGAGCAGGTGACTTTGTTCTAAATAATAGCTTCCAATTTGTGAAATAAAAAAGGAAATGGTTCCCCATTTTGTGACAAAGTATAAAATTTTCAAATCCTGTGACGAACAGACTACGACACTGAAAATCTTGGGCTAGGGCATATTGACAAGTCTCTATATATTAGCTGTCTCGCATCATAAATGTTTCCCGTTACCCGACACAAAAGCTTTATGAAATTAAATTGACTTTCTGCTTTTTACAGATACATATACACTTCACGTACATCATGTTTCAGTCTCCCCATAAAATGGATTCAATTGATATCCAAATCTACTTAAATTCTACTTAATCGAAGAGCATTTTGCTTTGTGAAATTAAATTTAACAACAAATCCACTATCTTAAAAACATAAACCCATTTTCTCGCATTAGATTATAATAATGCGGTACATATGCATGGGATGGACATACTGTACATATTTTAAGAAAATAGTTCCCTTTATTGAGTGAAAGCTATAAGAGTCACTTGTGCACTTTTCAGTCAATTCTAAGGAATCTCATTATTTATGTAAAGTCTTTTTTCTAGGTAATAGTTTAATGCTAGCTGAAGAGAGGTCTGGGTTGGGAAGTTTTTAAATAAATAATGAATACTGAATGACATGATGATCGAATAATTATAGGAGAAAGTTCCTCCATCTGTTTGAGAACTTTAATGATACATAAACAGTTGGTCATGATCGTTCTTACAATCTTTAATGGTAGGTATGAATTAATAGATTAATCCAAAATATTTTGTCTTAAACTACGTGGATCCATTTTATACTTTGGAGGCTTGGATTATAAGTAAATACATCTATTTAGTACTCATTGGTCACTCAAATCATGTCTGTTCGTTTGTGATGTCCACCACGCCACGCGCCTTTCAGTCCATCCATGACATGTCAATTTGAACAAATGTGTAACCCGATCCATCTCCAACATTTTCCTTTGCGTTGATGATAATGAAAGGTTGTGTCGAATGAGGAATGTTTGGTAGTCCACTTGTGCCATGTCACATTGGTCACCAAAAACCGGCTCGAGTAACACATCACTTCATCTTCACACAAAAGAAGATCAACTCGAATACGGGTTTGGTAAAGGGTTTGGCACGCGTCGTATTTTTGGGGGATGCAGTTTGTGCCCTGTAAATCCTGAGGATAAGGAGGAAGAATTCTAATCGGAAGTTGGCTTCATAGATTTCTTACTTGATGTCAGCAGGGATTGATTGATAAAACGACATAAAATCTAACAAGAGTACGTGGGGTAGATTTCTATCAATCATTGTATCTACTTGTATCGAAGAAATTCTAAAATGATGCGCTTTGGAATATTGAATCTGTGCAATGCGAGCTAAATAAATACTTACCACTCTGTAAATTTAATCAGTTAACTCGAGTTAAATCAGGCAACTGAGATCCATTTGAGAACGATTTTAACTTTATTATCATCCGACTTTTTAGGTATCTTCATAATAAAGTAAGGAAGAAAACATCAGGGATTTTTCTTATTGGGTGATAGCTATGGCAGGAAATAATCCTAAACGGTTTTTCTTAGTGAGGCAATTAAGTTTTGCGTATAAAGTAATAAAGGTCCAGAAGTTTCGTTACTTCACGGAACTTTTTTAAATTCCAATTAATTAAGATTTGATAAGATCTCTTTGATTATATAAAGTATCTTGTAAAATGGTTTTATTTGGCTACAAAATTAAATTCCGGAGTCTATTTACTACATTCATGTCGGAACATCTCGAATCACGCTTGATTGGTTCATACTTTTAGGACCATTTTCAATGAAAAACGAGATCTGTCATCATCCATTTTACAGATATTATTGCGTATCTAGACCTTGGTTTTGGTTGATTTTTTCTGACACCTTAATGGATATACGAGTAGTGCTGCATTTACCTCTCTGGTTAATCCTTTTAAAGTATACAGTTTTGATACATACATATTTGCATATTTCCAACATTCGATCACGTACGCAGTCTTGGGATCAGCAATTCTCGCATGATGGCCTGATTAAGATTTAAATCATTTAATACTGACATTGGTTTATATTAGTGCCATGCATTTAGGCGAAATTTAATTCTCGTAGTTTTCACAAAAATAATTTTCTTCGTCACTTTGTTCACGTCAGTCGACAAATATAAGAGAAAAATGTCTCCCAATTTTGAGCAATTAAGTTGAAAGGGGCACGATGACTACATTTTTCATCACAGTCATCCCAACAAGGAAAACCTTTAGCTAATCAACTGTGAAGACGAGTGAGATTGAGTCGACTGGGAAT